GGGGCATCATTGCGAGGTCCATCTGTAGCTCCACCTCCTCGTGTGTGGTCGGAGAGGAGCACGAGCAGATCTGTCCGGGGAGAGGAGACGACCATCTGCTCGCAGAGCTCAAGGTGTGCTTCTGAAGACATACAGATGTGCCAGAGGCTCCACTTCTCTGGAATCCTTTCATTTACACCTTAACCGTTTCATCCCAGATACGTCTTTGTCACACACACTGTGCATATGTAAAGAGAGAACATTAAGTGTCTCTGTGTGTTTAACACTCCCTAATAACTGTTGTCTGTTTACAGGGACCAGCGCAAGCAGTCTGAACGTTCAGGTTTATTTGCTGGAACCAGGATCAGGAGGTGGCGTCCCTGTCATCAGAGCCATCAGCTTACACAGCTGCACCGGAGAGCTTGTTCACTGTGTCAACCGCAGTCCTGAAAAGCTGTTTGGCAGGAAAGTGGGCCTCACGTTGTGTCCCCCTGCACGTTACACCGGTAAGAGAAATTATTGTTAATTAACTTGTAATTTCTGTGTAATCTCAGTCGATATTTTATATTTAAGCCTATAAAGTCTAATGTATCTGTACTTTAGACCTCTAAATTATCAACATGATCATTTTTTCTTGTAACGTCATCTGATTGAGATTTTTGATCAAGTAAAAGGCTTTTCAGTATAATTGTTTTTGAAAACAATTTAATTTACTGTTTGGAAACTTATTTAATTTAATATTCATTACTGTTCTGTTAGCGTAATTGTAAAAAAACTAATTGAGAAATGATTGCTTTTTGATTTTGCATTTAATGTTGTTTGAAAACTTAATTAAAATGTAATTTGTTTAATATTCATTGCTGTTCTGTTGGCATAATTGTAAAATAAAATAGGCAAATCAAATGATTGCCCTTTTTACTTTCATATAACAATATTTCATCAGTACACTGCAACACAGAACATGTCTATATAAAGATCATTTGTACATTCTCATTCCTGTCACAGACATTTTCCAGCATATGGATTACTATTTTGCATCTTTTTTTCATTAGAAATAACAGATTTGTAAGTGACTTGAATGAATGTAACCTAATAAATGCTCAATCAGAATAAATTAACCATAACCCTGAATAACTAATAACAAAACACATTTCCATTGGTACACTTTAATTTTCATGAAAGAATATCAAACAAAGTACATATGTACATTTTATTAACCTTGAAACTTCATGTATTTAATGAAATTAACAATATTACAAAAAGTTGTCTTTAGCTGGATTTGAACTCTGCTCTTGGTGAGCACGTGCAACATAAACGTGCGATTTTCCTGCGTGAAGAAAACGGAAAATGTATCACTGCGCGCTGTCTTTGAATGTCAAATTTCACTTTCTTTTCTTCATTTCTCCTTGCTCTTCTTCCCCGCCTTTGACGGACTAGCTTGAGCGCAGTGTGGAGGTGGATCAGCCGCAGAGATTACTCAGTCGCTCACAGAGCCCGCTCAAGACATCATGCACAGCATCACAGCCGCAGACAGCGTGCGGGTCTCAGTGACCTGCACAGCGCACACAGGAGACACTGCATGCTGCAGATCAGGAACTCTGCTCCAAACCTACACATGACCCTCCGCATTACACTCCAGTAGAGCAGGAACTGCTGCAAACTACAGCCCACGAGCTTCAGAAGAGATCTGACCCAAATCACCCCCCATACCCTCAGTCACTATTCCCTACATTAGCTCACTCATTCTGTTCACTTGAAGGACTTGCACTGATATAGTTGCATCAACTTTAATTCAACTAGAATTAGTTACAACTGTACTATTATAATTTAGTAGTAAGTAAAGTAAAAATGTTTACAGATGCCACTGTATTTGACCGTTAATGTTATGGTGCTGATGATTCTCCTGATAGGAAGTTTTCTGACTTATAAAATGTAAAATTGTTTAAGATATACAGTACATGAATTGTTGCCAAATGTGAACTGTTAAAAATGTAAACCAAACTCAACTTTTTGAGATGCATAAAGGCTTTACATGTAATAAATGCTCAGAATATTGACTTGCAAATGTAATTCTCACATGCTGTATAATTGAGAAAATGTGATTACCTGTGCATAGGCCAACTTACTAAAAACATGTATTACTCGACTAGACTAGCATACAGTAGATATTTCTATTAACTGCTGAAAATCTTTTTTTTTTTTCCAATCAACATTGCAAAATTGTATCATATTAACTCTGACAGTATAATTCATAAACCGTAAAGATGGGTCACTCGCTGTGTTCATCATGATTTCTGAGCAGTCCCTCCAGTGTAAGCGGCGCTTGAGTGCACTGTAGACACTAGTCTGGATAAACGGATAATCAGCACGCTACTGGTAAACTGTGGTGCTAGTGCTTTAGAGACTTGAGCTCCAGATCCCGGGCCTGAATGAACTCCGCATGCACTGTACGGACTGAATGGAAATGTGGAAAGGTGCTCATCACCAGCAGAAACAGACTGCAGCAACTGATTATCATTTCAGTTTATTTTTATATATATATTGCAATAAAGATGTACAAAGCATTGATACCCTTAACCGTTAAAATGTTAGAAAAAAGCATAAATGTGACAAATAACAGTAGAGTATATCAAAACATTACTGTTCCAGCACAGCCAGTCGATCAGATCCACCCTCACTGGTCAACAGAGCCATCTTTAAAAGGCTTGAAAGAGATAGAAATGTGACCAAACGCTGAAAGATGAGAATCTGCAGACTAAACCCAAACAACTAAAAAAAGAAAAATGATTCACATAAATCTACTGTAACAGAAGAAAGAAAACCCTGAAATAAATATATTTCTCCTCATATTAATTTGCCGTTATTATTCCACTCCTTTGATTAATCTGGTTAGGTAAGATATCTACACGTTAGTGAGGAAGTAGTGTGAACTAGAGCTGGAACTCGCTGTGTGAACTCGTTTGGACACGCAGCAATACATGAAACAGACTTTGGCAACACAAAGTCTCAGACAGACAGAGATGCCCAGAGGAACCTTTGAGAGGCGCTTTACAGCTGCAGCTAGATCAGTGAGAAACACACACGTTATATGCTTGTGACACTCTCCTTTTTCTACATCTAAATATAATATACAAGTGAATTGGTGATGGAGTCGTGGTCGGGTGAACGAGTGCTGTAGCCATACAAACACAGAACAGGGAAGATTGTACCGTCAGCGTCACTAACCTCACCCACATGCGGCGCACTTTAAATACTAGTTTATATTGAGAACTATACATATGAATAATATATTCACTAACTCTGCCACATGGAGTATTTCTCAGGCTGTGAATGGAGCGCACACAGAACCTGCGACAGCACAACACACTGAGCCTGTGAGCAAAACTAGTGTTGGAAACCAGAGTCGAAGCGTGACGAAAGCCGTCGTATTCAGCCGGACCGCGATGGACTCGCAAACGCCGACCCATGAGGCTAACCGACCAACACTCCGCTATATAGCTATAGATTCAAACTAAAGCATGACGGGCCATACGACAAACATCCCAGCATTCAATCACAAGAGACAACCGGACAAACATTCAGGAACAGAACGAATCCACATCGGTTTTCTCGACGGCTCTGAAGAAAAACCAACACTAACGATGAACCCGGCACTCGATCCTGAGTTTAGATGCACGATTTCAACGAGTCGCGCGCAGTCCATCTGCATAGAGGAACGAATCGGTTTCATTCAGCGCCGAATACATTCTTACAGCTTCAAACCACACACGAACACATCTCGGGACCTCCGGTGAAGGCCTCGAGCCACAGAAACACCTCGATGTACGATTCCAGACTGCTTTATAAAACAGACAGAGGCTTTCTGGTCTGGAGAACATTCTGCTTCAGTCGATCAACTAGCTAGTATGGCTTGAGGACAGTAAACACAACCATCCCTCATCTGTTAAGGCAAAGGTCTGGTCTGTAGCAGGATCTGTGATTTAAGGGCTTCGCTCTTATTTGGTTGATTGTTAGTTTGAAAGGATCTGACGGCTCTTTCTCCTTCAGACAGACGGCACTCATCAATGCATCTCCATCACACCAAAAACCATTCAACTGCACGCGAGGGAAAACTAATATAGTTCTGTTAAAGTTCTTTACATCAGACTACTGAAGATGATTGTAGTCACCCTGTAGTTCAGGTCGATCATTGTAACGAGAACATGGAGGGGCGCTGCGCTAAAACTCCACAACTCTTTCAATGCTTAAAGGAAGACGTAAAACTCTGAAGAAAAAAAAGAAACCAAAAAAAAAATCTGGCTACAAAAAAGCAAAAAAGTGTTTTCAAATGCGGCGCGGTGGAAACCTCAGTCCACTCGCGCTAAAACTTGATCAAATCAAGGAGGATTTACATTTAAAACCCAATAAAAACAAGCAGCCTACATCTATTCCGTTATAAATCACCAGTCAGGGAAAAGTTTAATTGAATCTGATTGCACAGGAAGGCACATCCACAAGGCTATAAAAAGTGTTGCAAAGAATCGTGTGTTTTTCTTCAAAGTGAGAAAATAAGAAATGAGGTGATTATTGCTTCATCAAGAGCAAGTTAAAAAGAGAGGGGGAAAAAAAAATCCACAACTCAGAGTTGCGACAGTCATAGTAATGATAACAATGATAACAACAATCAGTGTAACAAGGTGTGCTCGGAAACCTGTGCGCTGAGGACAATAAAAACCGTCAAACGCTGATCTATCCTGTTGAGCGCTGCAGCGTGGAAGGAGTCAGTTTGTTTCAGCTCTGTCGAGAAACGTCTATCAGCATCATCATCATCAGTCTGAGGTGCAGTGCTCGTCTGAGAGTGCTCTACGAGTAGAAGGTGAGGACGCTCTGATGGTTCCCACGCACCAAGAGGATGGGTGGCAGGTCTTTGGATATTGTGTCCAGCCAGGCCATGTAAAGAGCGCTGGAGACGGCTCCTTTCCTGGCCAGCGGCATGCTCCTGTTACACCACACACACACACACACACACACGTCTGAGGTGCAGTGCTCGTCTGAGAGTGCTCTACGAGTAGAAGGTGAGGACGCTCTGATGGTTCCCACGCACCAAGAGGATGGGTGGCAGGTCTTTGGATATTGTGTCCAGCCAGGCCATGTAAAGAGCGCTGGAGACGGCTCCTTTCCTGGCCAGCGGCATGCTCCTGTTACACCACACACACACACACACACACACACACACACGCACACACACAATATCAGAGCTGGCTGGAAACACCTCTCTCAGACGTCACGTCACTCTCAGGACACACTGATCACTGCTCCATAATTGCTGATATAACAGTCTCTCTCTGACAGTCACAGCACTACACCAGTAGGTGGCAGCAAGTGACCGTCTTTACGAGTCACTGAAACGCTGGTGTTTGTTACTTACATGACGATGAGGTTGGCTGTGCTTGAGTGCTCCTTCAACAGCTCGTTCAGTCGGATCTGACGGTTACTCTGAGGAAACAAACAAATCAATTAGCAGCAAGACTGAAGTTGCTGTATCTGTTAGCAGCTGAGAAAACAAACTCTGCAGACAAGCATTTGGAAACAGTGCATCTACATACCATCATTTCACTCCACTGAGTCATGAGCATTCTAGCTAGTCTTTGTCTTAACGCTCGAAAAATGTCATTACGGCTAATAGGGTAGGACATGCGCTACTTCCCGTGGTTCTGTTCTCATCTATAAAACTTTGCATTCATCAATCGTGGGGTACCACAGGGCTCAATTCTGGGTCCTTTTTGTCCTCTCTTGACAAACAACCAACTTATTGCTCTTTTATAAACCATTACTCAAATGAAAAAGTGTGGTCTTTAATTCCTATATAAATGGGAGTCGGTTAAAGATTTTGCCGTTGACTTTAAAGGGTTTACATTATTGACCATTTAGTTCAAAATCATACAAATATAATGTCTTCAAATAATTTATTCTGTTAAAGTGATCATGACTTCTGTTTTGGCAAAACTGCCAATGAGGAGTGTATTTCTAACACCAGAAAGTGCCTCATAGTGTTGCTTTACATTGCACTGCATGTTTTGATTAAAAAAACAACATCAACACTAACATTTAAAGGTGCTGCGAGAACAATATCAAATTACCTACTAAACTGCTCATCATTGTGGGATGAGATTTATTACTTCCTCAAATGATCATCTGAGAGGTTCACATATTTTGCCCAGCAATGATGTTTCCTGCTGGATCATTTTGTTACATAAAGATTGAAAATGCAAGGTTTTGTGCATTTCTTCCATTGTGTTAAATAACAGTAGGTTTATTTGGTAATAGATAATGAAGAGTCCCTTTGTCTGTTTCTGGTTGTGAAGCAAAGGCTCACACTCATTCATTTAGTGAAGCTTAAAAGGTGGGGTATGTATTTTTTTCAAAAACACTTTAGAAAACTGATTCGGGCCGACTAGCAAAACAAACGTGTAGCCAATCAGCAGTAAGGGGCGAGAGTTCAGTGCACAGGACGGATATTAGCCAAGCCCAGCGACAGAAAGATAAGAGATGGCGGATAAAAAACAAAAGAGGAAACCGTCTGCGGAACAAAAGAAGGCTTACGATAAGGCAAGAAGTAGGACCTGTGTAAATATCGGATCAGCTTTCCAGCGCTGGAGAGAACTCAAGGAGCAGAAGGCCTGCGATCGGATGCCGGGGTTGCTGTGTTGCTTCTCCATAGGTGAGTAACATTGCTTTTGCTTTGCTTCACAGAACTAATACATGCTGGCTTTTGCTTGAATATGCTCGTGTGTCATGTTCGCTTGTTTGTTCATCTGCAGTCGTATTGTCATTCCCTTCAGCTATGATAAAGACACATTCATTTCCACAGCCTATAAGCCTGGAGCGTCTAAACCTCCTCCACTGTCTGTTTCAAGCGTCAGCTCCCGAAGTGTGTCTGAAACGTAAGATTTACCCCCAGTTTCTCAGACAAGACTTACGCCTAGTCCCAGCCTAAAATGTAAGTCTGAGCCGTGTTAACTGAAAGAAACTTGCACTGACTGATCTTAAAATATATCAGTGCCTTTGTTTTGGCTCAAGATGCACACCAGTGACTCTAAGGCACGTTTATGAAAAATTACTTAAATGTCATAATTGAACTATGGCCTAATCCTGGTTTAGTCTAAGCCCTTTCTGTGAAACCAGGCCAATATGTTTAATACATCAGATTCCGAAATAATCGTTGCCTGGGTTACGTACCTATGTGTGGGGCGGAGCTATCAAAATGGGGGCGAGATTTGAATGATCAACATTGGCTGCCAGAAATCACTTACCCCACCTTTAAAAGAGACTCACTTACAAACAGTTTTGCATAATGAAAATTCAGTCATGTTTCTGCACTGGCTCCAAACGCCACAAAAACACTCTTCTTGTATGATCAATTTAGTTTTAGAAGTTTAGCTCGTTTAGTTTTAGAGAACAGAATAGAGGCAATAGTCTGGAAACACAAATATTCATCATACTTGCATTACTTGCTTATTCAGACCAGGAAATTACTCTCATCAAATCCCATACTTCTCCTCAAATCTCATGCATTGGTGTGAGCTCCTGTACTCATGAGCTGTGCTATGTGCGTCTGTGCTTTGATCGATCATCTTTAATGTGCTTCATGAATAAATGTGACCGGAGGTGTGTTGAGACCTTGGCTCTGTAGAGCTCCAGCTCATTGTCTGTGATTCTCCAGGGCTCTTCGCTCTTCAGCTTCTCAGCAGCTTCCTGCTCCATGTCATCTTCTCTCAGCTTATATGGCTCGATCATCTGAGCAAACTCGGTCAAACTGAATGACAAACACAAGAGGTCAGTGCTGAGAAACCTGAAGTGGAACTTTCCCTCCGGTGTGGGAATCCTGAGCCATTTCAAAATGATTCCATGATCTTTATCGATTACTGACGACAAACACAAAATCAACAGTTATGAAATCAGGTGTTAAACTGTGATCTGTGACAGACAGGTCATACGGCTCTTCTGAACTCTGTGCAAGCCGATACTTGCTCAGGGCTTTTTCTGTGTAACTGCCAGGCATTTTGTCTGTGCACATCATCCAGCCATGGTTAAAACTAAACTCTTTGAGTACATTCAGATTTTTTCTAAGAATCATTATGCATTGCTGAATGGATTTTTCCATGCTTTTAGATAACGGATAACACTAGCCCTCAAATCTCTTACATATTCCACAAACAGTTAACCGTGAAGCAGTGTTGAGGAGAGAGTTCATGTAATGAGATTCGTGTGGTGTAGTTCATACCCCTCTGACTTGGGCTTTGTGTTGATGTCGCCCAGGACCGTGATGTCAGAGAAATCGATCCTGAATTTGCTGAGCAACGTGGCCATGCTAAGGACAGGACAAAGTCTCATTACATATTTATCAGGCAATAATAAATAATGCATGCAATATTTGCCACTGCCTCCTTGCATTGAACAGTTAGTTTGCTCCTGAAAGGTTTTGTGCAGACGACTGGAGGATCCAGAAGCTCCATCATGACCACAGAGCGGATTCGACAGAGCATACACATGTGCAGCTGAACATGTCAGTGAAAGACCGCTCACGCTTTCTATGAAGACCCCGCTGCTGGAACATGTCTAATTATAGCTAACAAAGGCTCTGGCAGCAGCTGCAGAGGACAATGGGAAACATTTATCGTTCACACACACACACACACACACACACACACACACACACACACACACACACACACACACGAGAGAGAGAGCAAGAGCAAGCGAGAGAGACCTGGCATACTAATGGCATCCACAGTCCGGCTCATCTGAACTATCTGTGAGATGGGAGGCCAGGGGCATTTTTTCCTTTAGCTACGATTCTGATATAATTGTGAAAAAGTCATTCCGGCATGATTTCATAGGATTACAGCTGTAGTACGTACGCTCTGCGGTCATGGTCGATCCGGTTGATCTTGCCCCCGATGAAGACGCGGATCTTACAGTCCTTCCATTTCTTCTTGTTGGCGATCAGATAGGGGATCAGTAGAGTCAGACCTGATGCAGACGAGTTACATCAGATTACAAACAAGAATCAACCTGTCCTAGCAGCAGAGGATGCACTACTGTTGCAGTAGCTTAAATCACACATACTGTACCAAACATATGAAATAACAGATTGTAATATAAACATTATAACTAGGAGGTAAGTTCCTGAAGGAAACGCTATTGTACTGCTGCTCTCGCGTCACAGCTGTCAGTGTTTGTGCGTGAATGAAATGCTGCAGAGCCACTTCACTGCTGTCATGACAAGCACACGTCTGTGTGAGAATGAACACATGACACTGGCTTTACAGCTTTAAAGTGGCTATAAAGTTAAATAGAGGAAGACGAGCTCATAGAGATTTGCCTTGTAAAACAGGAAGCTCTGGCCTTCCCCTCGGAGCAAGCTGCACAACGGCTCACATCGCCTTCAAGACCCGGACACTCGCGTCTAGAACAGCCTCTAACCTCCACACCAATCTGCATCCCGTCCTGAAGCACATCATTCAACCGGACACATCTAATACGTTAGCCAGTGTGATGAACAGAGTTTAAGACAGAAATACTGCAGCAGGACGACTCGACAGCAGGCGTTTGTCAATGGCCCAGGACCAGTGATTGTACACCGCTGAAGTGAGAGGAGAGCTCAGTTCAGTTCAGCACTCGTATGCTGTCTGACAGGTTTATGTGCTCTCAGAGAGAGAGAGCTGTCTGTCTCACACGGAGGAGGACTGAAAACAAGAGTCCTTTTCACAGCTCATCACAACCCAGTGGCCAAATACACAGTCCATTTTACTAAGTATTCATGTAAACATAGCCAGATATGTCTGAAATGACTGTAGACGGTTGACAGATATCAGATGCATGTCAGTATATTGAATCTTAGCATTAGGTCTTAAAGTGACAGCAGCCTAATAAACCTGCTGCTGTATTGTAAGAGAAAACTGAAATTTCATTGGCATTCACATTTTATTTTTTAGCAAGGCATAAGGACTGTGACATACACTATATAGCATTGGGACCCCCCCTTCTAATGAACAGGTTTGACTACTTTAGTAATTTCCAAGAGTACAAATCTGAATGTTTTAGCATATAGTGATATTCTAGGGAATTGTGTGCTTCTAATTTCACAGCAGCAGTTTGGACAGGACCCTTTTCTATTCTAACATGACAATGCCTCTGTGTATAAGGCAAGGTTCAAAAATAAATGATTGATTGAGTCAGTGTGGAAGAACTTGACCGGTCTGGTGTGACTTTAAATGCAGACCTTGAGCCAAAAACTCATCACCAAACACTGACTTGTACATATGGCTACAGTCATTTTAGACACTTCCAGAACTGTTGAAACAGAGACCGAAATACAATTTTAATTATGTTTCCAACTTTGTTGACAGTTTTGGAAGTGCCCTTTTCTGGTCTAAAGAAGCGGGTGTCCCAATAGTTCAGGCCAAACTTTCTACCCCACTGGCAGCTCTGGGGGTATTCCAGAAGAAGGCTAAACCCATTACCCTGGAATTACATTTATGGAAGCATAAGTTGAGGTCATTTCTGAAGTAACTTCTAGGGTAAGTGTTAGTTATTTCAGTTAAACGTGGCTCAGATGTGACAGCAGAGATTAAGCACAACCTAACGTGTGAGTATTTTCACCATGTTGCATACTATCCCCCGTTACATTAGCTTTTCCATCATATTTTGGAAAATAGAACTAATTGTTTCCAATATAATGAAACCAAATCGTGGCCAAATTCCAGGTTTGACGATGCATTGTAATTGTATGTTCTCGAAGCTTCTTCCACTGACCTCCGTCATCAAAGAGCCACCAGACGTCGATGGTGCCCTTCCCCTGCTTCTGCTGGAACTGCTGACTGGCGTCCAACAGCCGCTGATCCGCCACATTCAGAGGAAGCGTCGGGCTCCTCTTCTCTGAGACACAAACACACACTCAGACCGCAGATCCAGAGAGCAAGCACAACCGATTCATTCATTAGCACACGGATCAAACAGACAGAAGAAAGAAGCAGTCTTCAGTGGAAAGAGAAGACACCGAGTATTAGATCGCAGACAGGAAGTGACATCGGAGCTGAAACACACACTAGCACACGTAAAGGTGAAGGTCAGAGGTCAACCCGGCAGAAACACTCCTAAACCGTCACCAAGAGAAAGTGCATGCAGGTCAGAGACAGAACGAGAGTGAGAGAAATGTCCTGCCTTTCTTCAACAGTGGCCGAGTGTGGGCTTTGCCATCCTCATCCTCATCTGGATCATGTTAGAAAAAACACAAGAGGTTAAAGTCTGCTAGTGCTGCAATGGGAAACATGTGCGTCAGTCAAACACAAAGAGAGCTTGTTCTGCTGCAGTTCATTACATGAGCAGACAGGTCACCTCAGGAGCTCCATCATCATCCACTGACACACACTGAGGACATCACACCCTCATCAGCACACCGCTCAAACGAGGGGACCGCAGTAAGCAGCTCTCCGGAGTCTGTGACTTCACTGTTTTTGTTGAATTGGCCATTACAACACCCATAAAACTAACTATTGCTGGAACTACTTGCGACGGAAGGAATCTGCTGAACACTGAAAATGATGGACTGGCCCTCAAAGTCCAGACCTCAACAACATCGAGCACATTTGGGGCGAGTTGGAAATGAAACCGCACAGATCTATTGTACTTTGGCTTGAGCTGCAGAAGGCATGGGATAGCATTAGCGTTGAAGTTCTCAGGAAATATATTGACACTGCCAGAGAGATGTGCTGCTGTAACTGCTGTAAAAGGTGGACTTACCAAATATTAAAGTTAAAAACTGTACGACTCGCTTCATCTGATGTTTGTTGTGCTCAGAGCAACCATCTGCATGTTTCATGAACATTATGAAATCAAATCATGTTTTCAGATCTGTCAGGTGTTCTAATAATTTTGGCCACCACTCTATATGACTGAAATCCAATCATACTTACTAATAAATAAATAGATAAAGTCACATGAAATATGATTTTTACAAATCTGCACAAGCTACATTCATATTCACATCAGACATTGTTTGTAAACATGCAGAATGTGTTTGTCAGTAAAGGTAGTGCAGTGAAGTGAGAGTGAGAATGCTGAGAGCGGCGACACCTCCTGCTGTGACTGTGCTGCTGATACTGCAGTTTTCAGCACAACGTCACTGCAGCAGATATATTCAGTGTCATGAGAGAGCACACACCAGTCAAACTATTAGATCAGATCCCAATCAACAGAGATTTGGGCTGAAGGTGCACGCTCAAGACATCACAGCCCATCACAATACGCTTCAGAGATAATAGACGTTTCCCACAGCTTTCACATTTCCTATCATGCAGTGAAACTGGAGAAGAGTTGTTAGGGAATCTGAACTCTTCAGGTGTGGTCTGGATCGGACAGCGTTTGTGAACGCACATTCACAAAAACAGGTACACATGGATATCAGGGCTGGGTAAACAAATAAAATACTGATTTCGAGATAAATGGATTCTAATTTTTACAAATAATATTGACTCTTAAATCCCAAGAATAGATTAGTCTAGCCTTTTTTTCAGTTTATGAACAGAACATCAAAGCGCACATCCCATCCAATAAATAGCAATAAGCTTTGTGCTTTGTTACTTTTGAAATGAAACAGTCTCAGATTTAAAATTCTGTCCATTGTATCACAATATTCAAACAATAAATGTAATTTCAGCATGGTTTAATGCGAGTGACAGATCGCTGTAGCGCCTCAGTTTAAGAGAAGCACACATGAATTTATCGTCTCTCCTTTAATAAGTTTCAGCACAATGTAAGTGCACAGTTAGTTTCAAAAGATGTCTGTATAACAGCTTGTAAGCAATACAGTATGTCAGGTAATGTCACATTTACCTCAGGAAAAAATGCTGACCAAAAACTCATTAGTCAGCTAGAAAAACTTACTCTAGAGAGGTGCATTTAGCCAAATAGCTACATGCACCATATAACATTAATTATTTTATATATATATATATATAAACAAAATAATCAAAATTGAATCGAAATGGAATTGAATCGCAAGCTTGTGAATCAGAATCAAATCATGACATCTGTCAAAACCCAGGCCTAATGGACATCTGGCGACTGATTCCCCACAATCCTCCTAACAGACGAGATCAAGAGAGCCAGCTCTGCTCAGTTTCTCAAGCTTTCTCGTGTGCCTGACCCCTGCTGATCGTCGCTTGCGGCTACATTTGTTTTTATGGTTGCTTTCTCAGGCTTCAGAGAGCCCTCCAGTGTCAGATGGAGCTGAGAGACCTCTATTAAACATAGACACATCAACACTCGCGGTGTTCCCAGCCTGGACCCTTCGGAGAGCACGCTCCGTTGTGTTGTGCTGGGCAGAGATTTCAGAAAACACAGAGTGTGCATGAGATGGCTTGGGATAAGACCTGGCCCCAGAAGAGCACAAACGACGACTTCCCCCTCGGAGCAGGAACATTTCACAAAACCCCTGGGAAATACACTCATCTGCCTTTCCTAGAACAAGTGAGTGCGAGACCTGGCCCCAGAAGAGCACAAACGACGACTTCCCCCTCGGAGCAGGAACATTTCACAAAAACCCTGGGAAATACACTCATCTGCCTTTCCTAGAACAAGTGAGTGCTTCAAGGACACACGTGACTCTGTGAACTCAGAGCCCTGACCTTTCTGGACGGCGGGGCTGTTCTGGACACTGGTGGCCTTGGAGGAGGGTTTGGACGAGTCTCCATCCGAGTCCTTGCTCATGTCCACTGAGACCACCACATCCCTCATCGCTGAAGAATCATCTGCAGGAACAAACAAAGTTCAGCACCGCTTGGAGGTCAAGGCAAACTCAAATTTAGCACGAACGGCAAGTCTGCTTAATGACCAACAGAAAACGAGCACATTACATGGACAATTTCCTCCAGCCACCACGCATGTCCAGCTTTAAAGGGTTAAAATGCTTTGTTCCCATGAGAGGGTAAAGCAGTCAGTATTCTACTGTAGTTTGTTAGCTAGTGAACGGTGATGCCTTCATGATAAATCAACAGCACTGAGAAGCATTCATCAGATTACACGTATTGTTTAAAGGAGACTGGTTGATGTAGTGGTTCGGTGTACAGTACTGTACCTTGGCCTTGAATGTGAGAGATATCGAGTCCCTCTCGCAGTCTGAGAATGACCACACCGTACTGAAAATCAAACGCATCGCTACACACACACAAATAAACAAGCGTTAATGTCTCACAGGATGAAGACCCACACCATTTACTTCAAAGCTGCTTTCCCCTGTTTGCTCATAAACATCTACCAGACGCTCTTCAGCTGTACATACACTAGAAACGCATAAACGTCATGCCAAAAACTGCATCAAAATCAATGCCAGAACACATTATATGCATGTTAAGATAACACTTTTAGGGTTAGAATAGCTTGTCATGGAGTGGTCCGCACTAGATCATATACACACAGATCTCTGACTGTAACTCTAGTTTTCTGACAGTTAACACTGATTTCTGATTAACGTTTACTCATCTGGAATCTCACGTTGCATGGCTGATGACCAGATGTCAAACAAACCACTTCATCACTGTATAAAAGCTGCTGCCTCACTAATTCAATAAGGTGTGTATTAATAGCGGACTGATTTCAAACAGAAGATGAAACCCACTGCATCAGGTTTATGTAGGTCTCAACGTCCTTTATATCTCCAATGCGCCAGTCGTTCTTGAAGCCGAGCACCAGCGTGTTGGGCCTCAATCTGCCCAGACCAGCAGCCTGTGAAACACACTGGAATTACTTCCATAGGCAAAAACAACTCATGACAAACCCTAACCTCAAACCTTATAGAAAGTGCTTTGCATTTTTTAAATAAAACATTTGGTATGTTTATGTTCTGAATTACAGCGACAAGTTAGCATGTCCAGTAATGCAGAGAAAGCAGGTTTTTCCATTTTGGCTCCATATTGTACGTCATATCAGTACGCACGCACACGCGCACACATTTCCAAATGGGTTATAACACAGAATTCAGCTGTGAGCAGGAAGCCAAGAAATCAAAGGACAGAAAAGCCCAATTTTAGGCTGATTGGTGCAAAGGAGCCTTTGGCCAATGGAAATGCTCAAATAAAACATTCAACCCTGTGAAGATTGATTTGCAGATTAGGTGAGACAGTTTTTGTGTGGAAATAAAAACATGTTCAAATCAACCAGTGAGCAAGATCCCATAAACACTTACTGAACAGATCTGAGGGCTATAAACACACACCTGCAGCAGGTACTGGGTTCCTTGGCGAAGGTCTTCAGCCACCACAGGAGTGTAAAACGCCTTGGAGCTGTTGTTGAGGAGCCACCTTTGGTAGCGCAGCATATCACTGTTCAGCTCTTTAAAGTTGGGCCGCCGGGAACTCTGGGAAGGAACACACGTGTGTGCAGACATCAGCTCACGTTAAAGAGCATGGTCCACAGACGGGTTCGTTCTACACACTGTGATCACCATCCACACAGAGCTGCTTTATTCCAACAACATGTTCCCACGAGGAAACCATTCGAACAGGGACTGCACAACACACACACAGACACAGACACTCTCTCTCTCACACACTATCACTCTCTCTCTCTCTCACACACACACTCACTCATTCTCACTTTCACGCACACTTACACACTCTCTCTCACACACACACTCTCTCTCTCACAGACACACACACTCAATTTTTCAATTCAATTCAATTCATGCTTTATTGGCATGACAATTGTTACAATGTATTGCCAAAGCATAGTGTTTACATTGAATCTAGAACAGATATATATGCAACAAAAACATGTATATACATACATTTAAAAAAGTAAAACAAATTAACATTTTAGAATCATAGAATTCTACAAACAATTTTATAATTCAGTGTGTGTGTGTGTGTGGGCGCATCACTGATTTGTTGACTCCTCCCTCTTTTTGTGACAGGCATCAATGTATCTTGCTGCTAGTAAGATACAATCTTGTTTTTCACCTAATAATTCTCACTTTCACACACTTACACACTCTCTCTCACACACACACTCACTCACTCTCACACAGACAGACACACACAGACACACACTCACTATCACTCTCTCTCACACACTATCACTCTCTCTCTCACACACTATCACTCTCTCTCTCACACACTATCACTCTCACACAGACAGACACACACTCACAGACAGACACTCACAAACACTCTCACTCATTCTCACTTTCACACACACTTACACTCTCTCTCACTCACTCACTCATTCTCACACACTCAGTCACTCAGACAAACACACTCTCACACTCACTCATTCTCACACACACTCAGTCACTCAGACACACACACACACACACACTCTCTCACACACTCTCACTCTCTCACACACTCTCACTCTCTCTCACACACCATCACTCTCTCTCTCTCACACACTATCACTCTCTCTCTCACCCACTATCTCTCTCTCTCTCTCTCACCCACTATCTCTCTCTCTCTCTCTCACCCACTATCTCTCTCTCTCTCTCTCACCCACTATCTCTCTCTCTCTCTCTCACCCACTATCTCTCTCTCTCTCTCTCACCCACTATCTCTCTCTCTCTCTCTCACCCACTATCTCTCTCTCTCTCTCTCACCCACTATCTCTCTCTCTCTCTCTCACCCACTATCTCTCTCTCTCTCTCTCACCCACTATCTCTCTCTCTCTCTCTCACCCACTATCTCTCTCTCTCTCTCTCACCCACTATCTCTCTCTCTCTCTCTCACCCACTATCTCTCTCTCTCTCTCTCACCCACTATCTCTCTCTCTCTCTCTCACCCACTATCTCTCTCTCTCTCTCTCACCCACTATCTCTCTCTCTCTCTCTCACACACACACACACACTCATTCTCACTTTCACACACTTACACACTCTCTCTCTCACACACACATTCACACAGACAGACACACACACTCTTTCTCTCTCTCACACACTATCACTCTCTCTCTCACACACACACTATCACACAGACACAGACACACACTCACACAGACAGACACTCACAAACACTCACTCATTCTCACTTTCACACACACTTACACTCTCTCTCACACACTCTCTCTCTCTCTCTCTCACACACACTCACTCACTCACTCTCACACACTCACACACTCTCTCTCTCACACACTCACATTGGCCTCGATCTACCCTCCTCCTAAACTCTTTGGCCCTGGTTAAATGACCACACACTTTCTCTCCGCCGGAGCTGTAGACAAGCTGAATGACACTCATTCTCACACACTATCACTCTCTCTCTCTCACACACACACTCATTCTCACTTTCACACACTTACACACTCTCTCTCTCACACACTCTCTCTCTCTCTCTCACACACTCTCTCTCTCTCTCTCACACACTCTCTCTCTCTCTCTCACACACTCTCTCTCTCTCTCTCACACACTCTCTCTCTCTCTCTCACACACTCTCTCTCTCTCTCTCACACACTCTCTCTCTCTCTCTCACACACTCTCTCTCTCTCTCTCACACACTCTCTCTCTCTCTCTCACACACTCTCTCTCTCTCTCTCACACACTCTCTCTCTCTCTCTCACACACTCTCTCTCTCTCTCTCACACACTCTCTCTCTCTCTCTCACACACTCTCTCTCTCTCTCTCACACACTCACACACACACACACTCACTCTCACTTTCACACACTTACACACTCTCTCTCTCACACACACACTCACACAGACAGACACACACACACTCTTTCTCTCTCTCACACACTATCACTCTCTCTCTCACACACACACTATCACACAGACAGACACACACTCACACTATCACACAGACAGACACACACTCACACAGACAGACACTCACAAACACTCACTCATTCTCACTTTCACACACACTTACACTCTCTCTCACACACACTCACACTCTCACACACTCACACACTCACACTCTCACACACTCACACTCTCACACACTCACACTCACACACTCACACACTATCACTCTCTCTCTCACACACCATCACTCTCTCTCACACACCATCACTCTCTCTCACACACACCATCACTCTCTCTCACACACACCATCACTCTCTCTCACACACACCATCACTCTCTCTCACACACACCATCACTCTCTCTCACACACACCATCACTCTCTCTCACACACACCATCACTCTCTCTCACACACACCATCACTCTCTCTCACACACACCATCACTCTCTCTCACACACACCATCACTCTCTCTCACACACACCATCACTCTCTCTCACACACACCATCACTCTCTCTCACACACACCATCACTCTCTCTCACACACACCATCACTCTCTCTCACACACCATCACTCTCTCTCACACACCATCACTCTCTCTCACACACCATCACTCTCTCTCACACACCATCTCTCACACACCATCACTCTCTCTCACACACCATCACTCTCTCTCTCACACACCATCACTCTCTCTCACACACCATCACTCTCTCTCTCACACACACACACACACTCTCATTCTCACACACTATCACTCTCTCTCTCTCTCACACACACACACTCTCTCATTCTCACACACACTCTCTCATTCTCACACACACTCTCTCATTCTCACACACACTCTCTCATTCTCACACACACTCTCTCATTCTCACACACACTCTCTCATTCTCACACACACTCTCTCATTCTCACACACACTCTCTCATTCTCACACACTTACACATTCTCTCTCACACACTCACTCACTCACAGACACACACACACACTTACACTCTCTCTCTCACACACACACACACACACACAGACACACACACACACACAC